TATGGGCAACCTTGGACATGTTGTGAGCCAAACTTTAGTGTGCAAATACGTTCGCGGGCTGCGTTTAAAACTAGTACATTTTAAAGTAGTGTTGTATTGCTCATAATTTTTGCGATAGAACAATACGACAGTTTTATTATTCGGCCAGATAATAACACTGTCGTATTGTTTTGGCCCGCGATTCGGCCCGCGGGCCGGCTGTTGCCCACCGTGGGTCTATAATATCAACACATCACTCACTCCGCGAAGCCTGTGAAGACCCCAAAACCCTTCTGCGCTTCTGGATGGAGTTGGATTGACTGTTTGACAGCGATATTTTCACGCATATTGGATAGATTAAAGCGAAAAATTTGAACCTCATCATAACCTAACCTAGTCTATATTTTTTTCTTCAAGAAATAGGACTGACTTCACCCTTTGAAAAGTGGGAAATAATATTTATTCTAAAACCTGTTGTCCTAAAGGGATCTGCGGACAAGAGCTTAAGAACCACTGTCTAAGACTAATTAAAATAAGAAGGTGATTGGCTACTAGGCCGTCAACATTTGATATGTTGTCCACAGTCTACTATCTTTTATATGGGCGGACAGTTTTGATAACCATGTCATGTCGTGGCTGTGTTACTGCAGTGTCGTATTATGAATCGGCACCTTGTGTAGCTTCAGTGTAGGTCAAGGTCTGAGCTGGGAGTACAAGGCCGTCACATATAGGGTTGTCATCTTCTACAATAAGAAAGGCTGCCTCCGCCTCGGACGTGTGTTTTTTACATTGGACATGATTTTTATAATAAAAGATCTGTTATAAGTTACAGTTCTTTATTGATCTAATCATGTATTAACGACACTTCGTTCTTAATAGTTCACTTACGCTGGTCGATATGGCCCGCTAGCGGAGTGCGAGCGACTTCTGTGGGCTCACTTCGTTGGTCGATAAACTAATGACCGACCAATGAAAACATGCCACGCTAATTATTCACACTCTGCATGCAGACCCCCATCGACCAATGTAAATGAGCTGTAAAGCGTTGTCCCTTGCGTAGTGTAACAAAAGCCGTAAAAGCTGAATATTTTAATACCAGCCGGACACGACCGGAAAAGCCAAACATGTCGAGAGAAGGAGAGGGCATCCCTAGTCTCGGACAACATCACTTTCAATATCAGCTGGAAATAACGCTGATGTTTGAGCTATTTACCACTCTGAAATTGCCTTTATTTTTGTAAAAAAAGAATTGAGAGATACAATGCAGCAATTTAACTTTTTACTAAATGTCTCTGAAAATTAATATATGGATGATAATGATGATGGGCGACCTAAAATCTTAAAAACTATTCTTTACAGGAATCTTAGTTTATGGTGCAAGGTTTATGAGTGCTTCGTATTTGTTTTAAACGAAAGTTATCTAAAATATCTACTAGACACATATATCTATCCAGAATAGGATTAACTAAAAATACAAGCATCAATCTATCCAGGTGAAGTAGCAGTTTTTAATGTTATAATAGACGCGGCCTTTTCACCTACGTTCCGTAACAGCGTGGGATGTACGCCATATGGTCACAAGATTTTAATGAAACCGATCGCTGTAGATATTTCTCTGTGCCAGCGTCACTAGCACAACCGTCTCAAGGTGTCTCCATCCTTTAGTTCTCCGATTCGATATCAGAAACTCTATCGGGTCTCGGGTGTATCTCTATTCTGTGGCTAGGTGTCCTGGTTGTTATCGACGGTGGAGAGGATTGTATAATTATTCAAAGATAAAATCAGACAAGAAAAATAATATATTTATATAACTTAATGAACAATACACAAGATAGAATCAAAAGCTTCCGACAATATTTGTACTGGCAACTGCATTATGTCGGATTTCCATAACATAAAATCTTTTGCTATCCATCTTATTCATTTGAAGTTGTTATTATAGAAATAAAGCTCAATTTGACATTGGTTTAGTTTACGACAGTACTGAGATAAGTGTTTGTATGATTTGTGTGACATTCAACTTCGTCGATGATGACATTCTACATAAATATGTTACAAATGCAAGGATTTTTGGTTACATTAATATTTGATTTTTTTTCTGAATTGTTTAAAACTTTGTAACTCATTAAAAGATTTAATGACACGAAAATAATCATGTTTATTATTATTTTCTTCTACTAAATTATTAAATGTATATTGATATTTAAATTAAAACATATATTTAAACCGAAAAGCTACATCATACGCTGGTGAGACAGATTATAATTTACACGCGAACTCACGGGAAAGCAGCTCGCAGTAGCATATTTACATTATGCTTATTGCAAGTCTTGATTCAAGCTATAAGGTTTGGTATTTTGGGTTCGTACCTTACCTTAAGTAGGTATATCGTTCACGTAAAGCGCATAAAAATTTGTATACCAACTACATTCAAAAGAATGCCACCATTTAATGATTTATTAGATAACATCTTACATAATTTTCCATTCAAATTTATTTTCATTTTAGCAATAAGAACGACAGAAAATTCAGCGCAAGTTTTTTTTTTTTACCCTATTTTATTTAATAAATAATGGTCACCCAGAAACATGATTTCAAGTGTTTTCAGAGTTTTGTAACTCTTTTCTACCAGATTCAGAATAATGGTAATTATCGGTGCTGTTAGTATGCAACATATGTGGATCTTACCTATTTATAAGCATTATCAAAGTGATTCCCCATTCCCTAATGCTACGTTGGCATTTGTTAGTGCAGATATATCGTAAGTTCGGCCGCGCACGTCTGGGTCGGCGCGCCCTTTACCCAACCCCATATTTTACCTGAAGACAGATAAAATAAATACGGCTAAAGCTCTAGTCGGGCTTTCAGGTTTGAAAGGTTAAATATTGGACAATATGATTAAGGATTTGAAAGGGAAGAATGGTGAAAAGTAGAACTGTTACTGCAATGTTTGTTAATTTTATAATACATTTTGATTATTCTTTAAATATAAGGTCAGATCACAATTTTTCGCCTATTTTATTATTTGTAAACTAGCTATTTTCCGCATCGCCAGCGAAAATTATTGTTTGTGTGACCCGCGTATGGTTTAGTTAATGCAAGAAACTAAACAATAATTCCTATTTATAAAGTAACCTGTAAAACACCTACCAATCTGCGTTGGAGCCACCTATATATGTCGCCACCATGTTTTTTCCATTCATAGCCAATTCTCGTCCGAGCCAATGGAAATAGACGAATAAAAAGGCCTACAGGATTATGAATGAACCGGTATCATCTGAAAAGGCAGTGGTAGCGCCGGACGCCTTAAACGGTGCGCTTACGCAATAATCTCGCAGCTCGATGACATTACGTGTGTGTTCATTCATAGGTTTTTGTTGGCATACACGTTGAATAGTTGTCGTCGCTCCTGTCTTGTAATCTATATCAGATACAATACAATGCGATGTAGTAGAAGTACCAGAATGAGCGAGCTTCGCTTCGTTATTTTGATGAAACCTAGCTAGATCGATATATATTTTAAGTAAATTTTGCATTACTGTAACTTTTCTATACAAAATTTTTAATTGTATAGACTGTATATAGAATGAATTTACAATCTACACTAATATTATAAACAGACAAGATTTGATTACCTGTTTTTTTTTCTTAGAAAGTACAGGACAGATTTAAAAACATCTATCTACGGGAAGCTAAATCATATGCGGGTGACGGGCACGCTTTCATTAGCGAATTTTAACTAATGAATGCGGGCATTTCGCCCACATATCAGAAGTGGCTTAAATGTGTAGTTTTTAGGTTACCAAATTCTATTTTCCTAGACCTTTCCTAGTCTGAAAACCGTAGAACCATGTAGGTGGATATTTAGTTATTTATGCTTCCCTTTACAAATAATAATAGGTTTGTATTGTTTTATTTTCTTTTCAAGATGTCTTGCAATATTATTTGATAACCTGAAACTGCTGTTTTCAAATGTTTTTAACCTTTCGTCAACAAGTAGGTAGGTACCGATTTACATGGAATCTTGAAATAAAACATACTGTTTATGTGTACTATTTCTTATAAATGAACTATTTCGCTGTTTTCCCGCGACTTTGCCTACATAAATCATAGCCTATCACCTGCGTATGTTTAAAATCAGTCCAGTAGTTTCTGAGTCTATTCAGTGCAAATTAATAAATAATCCAATCTTTCCTGTTTCTAATATTAGTATAGATAAATAAAAAATGTATGTAAAAAAATGTTTTTGGTAAAACCACAGAACACAAACAGTGGGTAAAACATTACATAGGAGGGACAAAGACGACAAGTATGTCCACTACAACTCCATACTTCTTGAATATTTTTTTTATTAAGCTACAAATGTATTCAGTATTACAATAAACGTCAGTAAGTAATATGTTACAACGTGGTCATCAATTTGAAACTCTAGGGATACTTTTAATTAATATGATAGCAATTGGTAACTTACATAGATACCTTGACCGTCACCAAATGTATGACTATAGAAAAAATATATTACTATTATTCGGACATCTGACGTCGGTGTTCACTATAACGTAAGTTTTCTGGAATGTGAAATCTGAAGTCGTTATAAACAATAGAGTCATTGTGCAGCGAAAGTCGAAGATAGATCGGTTGCGTCATGCCTTATAGTAGTCTAGCAGCTGTATTAAAGAAAGTAACATTGCCGAAGCTTTAAAGGAAATTATTTATTATTGAATACGTGCAGCGTTCTATCTTGGGCAAAAAATCAGGTCGTGGTCGGAGGATCAGTCTTTAATTATGAATGAATAGAGTTACAAAAATATTGGAAGCCAAAGACGTATGTGATGAATGTCATGCCATGTCGCTCAGTCCTCCATGCCTACCCCGCAAGCGATTCTGCAGAAATATATATATAGCTTCTGGGCTCGGGGCTCTTCCATAGAGCTTTGCGCTGCAGCCCAAAATGCACTTAAGTAGGTCCGTTCCCTAATATTTTTTACGGCAGCAGTCTCTAATAAAATGTTTGTTTTCAGGTGTCCCGGCTGGTGATCCTTCATGAGGAAGCTGAAGATGGCAACGCAATGCCGGACCTGGCGCGGCCCGTACAGGCCGTGTCGCTGGCCGTCAATAACCTCGTCAAGGTAATTATAGTTATTATACATATAAGAAAATGCTACCAACAGGTTGTTTTGTTATTTAGCATACTAAAACGTGTGTTATTTTTTGCACACAGCGTGATTTAAAGCAGGTGTAGAACTTGCATAACGGTGCTTGTTCTGAATTATAAAGGTGTATTTATAATAGTACAATAGAAAATCTGGTAACCTTTCTATATGGTCAAATAAAGACTATTATTCTTAGCTCATGAGCCTCAATTGGTACGTATCATATGCATACCAGCGAATAGAAATATACTAATCACTCGTTATAAACTAACTAGTTTCTGATTGAATTCGTCGCTAGGTTGAACAATAGGCTCACGTTTACGTTTTGCTCCCAGGTCGGTCATGAGACCATTGAGTCATCGGACGATGTGATCCTCCGTCAAGACATGCCCGGTGCTCTGCATCGCGTGGAGAACGCGGCTACCTTGCTGCAGCAGGCGTCGGATATGCTGCGCGCCGACCCTTACTCCGGTCCTGCCAGGTGAGCTTCATTACTCGTATCTATTGTCAAGTAGACACTTGTCTTAGCGGTTACTTGAGTATAAGTAATAGATCAAGCAAACATTTTAAATCAATAAACAAGAATTTAAATGAAGCAAAAACTCAAATAAAATAAAAAACATTTTTTTAAATTATATTGATTAAAAAAAGTTACAGAGAAAGAATTGAAAAAAGAGAAATAATACCAATAATTTTTATCTATACATATATAAAATGAGATGTCCTGACAGACTGACAGACAACGCACAGTAGAAAATTAATCATGAAAACAAATATTTTATTCTCGTTGTCACGTGACCGCAAACAGCGCGCGACGTCACATCAGAACTTGGAGAATTAAGCCTTATGCATACATAGACCGATATTAGTTTGACGGGGGCGTGACGTCATTGCTCCACCATGAAAGTGGTTGGCGATTTCGCGGGATATATTTGATGTATAAAATAAATATATAAAAAAGTTGTCTATGCCCCTATTTATCTGGAAAAAAGAAAAGTAGACCAAGCAAATGTCATTTATATTGTTACTTAATCTGTTTGTTTTGGTAGATGTTTGGTAGTCTTTTAATATATAAAGAGCGTCAAAGAGAATCGTCTAAGTATTTCAAACTAATATTATTACATAGCGAAAGTAGGTATCTTTATATTGTCGTAACTAACCTTTAGTATCGTTTTAATTCCTTAGATTTATATCACTTATTTTGCTCATATCGATAAACTTTTTAGTGTTTTCCATTTATATTCTTTACTTTCTCCATTCTATAACTATGGTCCTTCAATTTTATATCTGTAACCATTAAAATTCTGTAATATAAACTTATCCAAACCTCTACGAACTTTCATCCTATGTTTTTGTCTACTTATACTAATGTGAACCCTTACCTGTACTTTTCATAGTTTTTCTTTATACATTTTACCAATTCTAATCATATTAAAACACTTATTTATGTATTATAACACAAATTATCGCTAATTTTAATTGTTTTGACAGAATTGACATCAAAGTTTTTCTTCGTTGCTATGGTTATTTTTGATACTCTTCATGAAAATTTACTCATTGTTTGTCAGTTTTAGGCATTGAAACTCTGTAGTTTTTGAATTTTTAGGGTTCTAATTTGAAATCATTTACTTCTAAATTTGAGTTCGTCTTCAGGTATAAATAGCCTCGCTCAAATAGTTCTTTATCACTTCAACGGCAACAGTTGCCAAGTTAGCTTTTTGGAGCTCGTACAGAGCTAACTAAATTCTTAAAAGGCCTATTTCCCGGGGCCGACTGCCCCGGGAACTCTTCAAAGTTACGGTCTCAAAGTCGCATGACATCTTTATGGCTTTAACTAAACGACAACAAATCAATACTCCACTATAACCTCCTACGCTACTTCACTCCTGGAGGCTGGCTGCGAGTATACGCCTTAGGCCCGAGCTGCTGCTCAGTTTTGGGCTACCGAAGAATCTCCAGTACGACGCATCGAGACTACTCCTCACCGATTTACGCTCTCAGTTCTTGGCTGCCGAAGAATCTCCTGTTCGACGCATCGAGAGACTACGCCTCGCTAAATTTACGCTCGGGATCCAGACGCCCCTCAAGACTGCTGAAGTACTTCATCAACGGAACTTCACCGCTGACCCACGCCCCTTCACCTACAGACACTCTCACTCACACTTCTACACTTTTCACCTCACTAATCACCTCTCCCTTTTTATTTTATTTTTTTTGTCTAATGTAAATAAATTATTTAATTTGATTTAGCATCTTTTAGTTCTTTTTATATCTTGTTTCATAACAATTTGGCGCCCAACTCTTAGGTTCTAGTTTCTATATACTTTTTCTTTTTAGGTAGTCATAGGTTGTTCTTATTATTTTAGGTTGAAATATTAAGGTTCTTTATAGTTTTATTAGGTATTTGATCTTTGTTGTTCTCGTCGGTCTCTAAGACATTTACTCTTTGTTTTTATTTAGCATAGTCTAATCTATCGTTGTCTAGTTTACTCTTTGTTTCTTTTCTTTTATTGTCTATCATTTTTCTTTCTTTATTTTTCAAAATTCTAAAACAACACTTCGTCTAGTGTATTCATCCTTCTTTGGCTTATTTTTGGTTTCTCTTACATAACAAAAAGAAAGTACGGAAATTTGATTTTATTAGTCTAGGTAGGGTTATAATTAATTTAACTTTAATCGTAATTTTATTGTTAGGATAACTTTAACTTTTACTTAAACTTTACCTAATATTCTTTTGGGTGAATAATTTAATTTTTAACTTAACTCTCACTTTCCGAACTTTCTTTTATTTTACATCTCACTCATTCATTCCACACTCATTATATATTTATATTTTTTTTTCTCTAGAAGGAAACAAGGTAATTCTTTTGAACTTTATTAATAATGACTCGCTTAATAAAATTTGATTTTCTTAACAAACCTGAACTAATTGTTTCTTACGATATTTCCCTCTTAGGTGATCCAATTATTCAATTGGCATCCTTTGAAGATAACTTCTTCATCTTTTATATTTTTTTTTACTTTAGGGCGCTCTAAACGCTCTCCTTAACTTAAAGGCTTCTTGTGTCTTTACTTGTTTTATACTCTTAACCAAGACTACCTTAATAGTCTTACTATTTCTTGAGCGGCTGACTACTCGTTAAATAAGCCTTAGGTCTGAGCGGTTGACTACTCATTAAATATGCCTTAGGTTGGAGCGGTTGATTACTCCTTAAATAAGCCTTGATCACTATTTTTTTTTCCATATATGGAGCGGTTGACAACTCCTTAAATAAGCCTTATTAGTCATATTGGATCACACTTCTAGAGTGGCAGTCATTGAATGTGAACTCCACCCTAAACAGAATGAAAGGATAGCATGTTAGATGAGGAATATGTATCATTTTGCAAGGTTGTATGCTTGTGTGAAGTAGTGTCCTCTGGTTTCTTTAGACAATTCTTAAAAATTTTCTCTAGTCTAAAATTTTTCTGGGGTTGTGGGGGAAATGTCGTAACTAACCTTTAGTATCGTTTTAATTCCTTAGATTTATATCACTTATTTTGCTCATATCGATAAACTTTTTAGTGTTTTCCATTTATATTCTTTACTTTCTCCATTCTATAACTACGGTCCTTCAATTTTATATCTGTAACCATTAAAATTCTGTAATATAAACTTATCCAAACCTCTACGAACTTTCATCCTATGTTTTTGTCTACTTATACTAATGTGAACCCTTACCTGTACTTTTCATAGTTTTTCTTTATACATTTTACCAATTCTAATCATATTAAAACACTTATTTATGTATTATAACACAAATTATCGCTAATTTTAATTGTTTTGACAGAATTGACATCAAAGTTTTTCTTCGTTGCTATGGTTATTTTTGATACTCTTCATGAAAATTGACTCATTGTTTGTCAGTTTTAGGCATTGAAACTCTGTAGTTTTTGAATTTTTAGGGTTCTAATTTGAAATCATTAACTTCTAAATTTGAGTTCGTCTTCAGGTATAAATAGCCTCGCTCAAATAGTTCTTGATCATTTCAACGGCAACAATTGCCAAGTTAGCTTTTTGGAGCTCGTACAGAGCTAACTAAATTCTTAAAAGGCCTATTTCCCGGGGCCGACTGCCCCGGGAACTCTTCAAAGTTACGGTCTCAAAGTCGCATGACATCTTTATGGCTTTAACTAAACGACAACAAATCAATACTCCACTATAACCTCCTACGCTACTTCACTCCTGGAGGCTGGCTGCGAGTATACGCCTTAGGCCCGAGCTGCTGCTCAGTTTTGGGCTACCGAAGAATCTCCAGTACGACGCATCGAGACTACTCCTCACCGATTTACGCTCTCAGTTCTTGGCTGCCGAAGAATCTCCTGTTCGACGCATCGAGAGACTACGCCTCGCTAAATTTACGCTCGGGATCCAGACGCCCCTCAAGACTGCTGAAGTACTTCATCAACGGAACTTCACCGCTGACCCACGCCCCTTCACCTACAGACACTCTCACTCACACTTCTACACTTTTCACCTCACTAATCACCTCTCCCTTTTTATTTTATTTTTTTTGTCTAATGTAAATAAATTATTTAATTTGATTTAGCATCTTTTAGTTCTTTTTATATCTTGTTTCATAACAATATGTTCTTTATACTCTCGCGCTAAATCACTAAAATATATGACTTGAGATAGAACATAAGTTGCTTTTTTTGCGATAAAAAGGTTGAAATAGGGATTTAAAGTTTGTTAGGAAGTACGTCATTGTCAAAGATATAATGATGAAACTTTATATTCAGGTATAAATAATTTTTGTTTTAGCATTTTAAGAAATACAGCCCAAAGTTACTAACACCACACGGACGAAGTCGTGGGCAAAAGCTAGCTAGTCTTAGATAAAAGTGTGCAAAATGTAGATTGTAACTAATGAGCTTTCCCATAGTTTTAAATACCAATAATGCGTTTCAAATTAAATTGGCTTATTTTATACTTATATAAACTAAATAATGCACTTATACACAATAAAACATAAACCACTAAAACCTCAATAGACTTTGAACTTCATTGTCAATCTATCAAAATTTATAATTGATAGAACAAATTAATCTTAACTATAACCACGTATAATGTTTTCGAAAGATTATTTATGAAAGTTAATTGATATCGGAAGTGATGATGTAAAGAAGATAAGTGTTTTCCAGTACTTTTCATTATTATTTGTAGGAAGAAGCTGATTGAAGGTTCCCGTGGTATCCTGCAAGGAACTTCTGCGTTACTTCTCTGTTTTGACGAATCGGAAGTTAGAAAAATTGTGAAGGAATGTAAAAAGGTATTAAAAACGCATCAAAAATAATATTTTAAACCTTATTACTTATGAGTATGAAGTTCAATTTTATGTCGTTTTTCTGTCCACAGAGTATGCTATACGCTGTATTTACAGCTAGTATAGCTAGATTATACGGTTTTTTTTATTATCTTATTTAATGTTAAATTAAGATATTTAACGACCTTCATACCCGCTTAGTATTTGTAAAATATTTGTGCGCTAAACGTAAATTCTTCTTCCATACTTTATAATCAGCGTTTATCTCTGCATTCACTCCTTTCACTTCATCTATATGATCTTTCGCACAGACTTAATTTTTAAATGTGTAAACCCTTTCTTCATGTCACATATTTTCACATAGACATATCTAAACACTTTCAAAGTTTCCTTGATTGTTGGTAGTGATTGCGCGAGTTGTTGCACGTGCATTTATTTGCAGATGGTGCACAGATATTTTGCAGGCACTTAGTATGTGAGTTGCCAAATATCTATCAACGCCAAATATCATAGTTTTGTAGTTATGTTTGGAGGTGTGTTTTTGGTACTATATAAGTATTGCTAGTGATACTTTTCGTAGGTGCTAGATTATCTGGGAGTGGCGGAGGTCATTGATACTATGGAGGATCTGGTGCAATTCTTGAGAGATATCTCGCCCGCTCTCTCGCGCGCTGCTAGAGAGGTAAGATGTCCACTTACTTATTATGATAGTTTCTTAACATAGTTTTTGACAATGAATAAAGTAAGGATAATATTATACTGTTTATTGAATATTTAAATTAACTGTCAGATTTGTTAAAATTGGTAGAATAATAATTATGTCGTTTAGTCAATCAAATGAAAAACTTTCTATGAGAATTTCAAAAATATTTTTTGTAAAGAGGAGACTGCATAAATACTGAGCTTTATTAAGAAAAAATACAGAAAAAATGTTCCAATTATAGATTAAAGGAGGACCTCACAAGGGTTCTAGATTTTTTAACGCATTTTCCGGTTTTTTTTTGTGTTTTTGTATGTTATAAATTTTAAATATCAACCCTCAATTGTAGGTGGCAGCGCGCGCCGCGGAGTTAACCCACCCGCCGCACGCGGACACCCTGACGCGCTGCCTCGAGAGCGTCAAGCAGCTGGCGCCCGTGCTCATCTGCTCCATGAAGATATACATACACATACTCACTGAAGGTGACACCACAAGGGCTTACACTCGACCTGCGGAACCACCAGTTTTTTCAACTGAACCCAAAATTTTAAAATAGTTGTAAAAAAAAATTCACATACATAACTTTTTATATTATATAATTTGTTATAATTAATTATATTTTAAGTATTTGAAAAGCTCTACTCGTGTGTTTATTTGTTGGAAATAGGTGGGAAAGGTATAGAGGAAGCAGGCGAAAATAGAAACTATTTGGCGCAAAAAATGGCGGACGAAATTCATGAGATCATTCGGTAAGTGCCTTATCTATAATATGTATTATAATAATAAAGTCCGAATTGACTTCAATAAGTAATGAGGATCAAAACGTGAATTTGTTAAATATTATCGATAGAAAAAAAAATACACTTTATTCTCAGTACTCCCAGTGTTTTTTTTAAGTATTTTTCATAAAGAATATTTTATAGTATAGTATCGTGAACGTATCATTGATCAAATTATTTAATTTATATTATTATTGTGTAATACATTTGTTTTTTTTGTCTCTCTTTTCCTCTTTAGCGTTCTTCAATTGACGTCCTACGTGGAGGACGGCGGTGAAAAGGACAACATAGCCGTGCTCAAAGCACTTCAGGCGCAGATACACTCGAAAATGGGAGCCGCCCACGAGTTTCTTAATGTGAGTAGAGGAAACTTCGTCGCTCCGCTAGGTAGGTCGAAATTCGATAGGCTACAGACGGTGGTATGCAAATACTCAATGTAAGTTTTTTGCTCTCTCTCTACGGTCGTAATATAATATTCTTACTGTATTTGATTATTTTTTTTTACGGCTCCCGGCCAACGGTTTCAGATTTGTGCAAGTTTATATCGAATCACAGACGCACACAAGTCAAATATACTGGGTGGAACAGAACGACCGACACTCCCGAGGTTCCTGGAGAGTACTATTTGTCTTTAATATGATATAAAATTATATGTCTAGGTCAAATAGTTTCGGAGATATTAAATTACAAAGTTTTTGGAAAAAATGAGTGTTTTCAACCCTGAGTCAGCTGTTTTTGGGACGTACTAAGGAACAAGTTTTTAATCGGTCATTGACTTCTTCATTTCTAAACACGAAATAAACTAGTTTATGATTTATACGACCGCTTTCATGCAAATTCTACCAATCACTTAACGAGGCAGTCAAAATGCTTAAGGGGCTGAGGACACTAAATGATTTTTAGAAATCGACACGCCCCCTTACATAATTACAGGTGTCTACGCTAGTGTGGGTTAGCTCATTGCACGTTCCTCAGAAGAATAACAAATGCCTATCGGTTCAGCGCCAGCAGATAAACTTTGTACTAATAACAATGACGTTTTATAACCATCAAGTGCTTTGAGCTAGCTGTCTAAAGTGCTTACACAATAGATGGCGCTGAATTTTTTTAAAAGAAAGGAATAATTTCTTTTTACTCCAGATTTTTATGGGGCTTAGAAAGGACAAGTATGTTTTTTCCTTTTGGGTCGACAAAATAACATGCTATTATTTTGTCTGTTTCATATTTCAGAATTTTATTCTAATTCATTGATATTTTAAAAAATGCTTTGCATTGAATAATGAAAAGATTTAAAATTTAAAGATATATGAAATAACTATATAAAATCACTTATGATACCACACATCACATCACATTTCTTCACTCGATTTTAAACCTTAATGTAGTGAAGGTAGAGTTAAAATAATTGCGATAATTTGATAGACTGTAGTAACCTGACTTGCTGCTGTGTGTACCTGATAATGTCGGCCAATCAGAATAAACCAAATATCACGTCATGGCACCTAATCGGACGGACTTTCATACCTTATTCTCATTACAAGAAGAGTCATTATACATTTTAATTGTACGAATTTTTGGTAGGTCGGCTTTACGTTAACGAATATTCACCATATGCAATATTAATTGGAAGTCATTGTAGTTAGTACACATATCCATATCGAACTTGCCGGAGGAGGAGAAAAAAAGCAATTTTAGAATCGTTTTTATGAGAATATAGGGTAGACGCGCCTGTTTCTACCATTGTCTTGCTGTCGAACATTTCATGGCCCATTTAAAAATAATTAATGCTTTAAGAATTGGACTCTACCTGATCTTTGGACTGGAGTTAATAAAACATATCCTGTTTTCATAACTTGAAGAAAAGTTATTTTTTCCTCTAGCCATGATCCTTTTATGGAGGTGGAATGATATTTTGTAATACTGACGCATCATCAAAGTATACAACTGGTTGACCGGTTAGGATGAAACCATTAAAACACAATCATTTTATTAATCCCATAAATATAGATGATTTCAAAGTTGCCGTCAGACATTTTTTATTTGATACTGGAAAGCGAACTGATTCAAAAACAATATCTTAAAAGTCTATCCATATTTTAAATAGTACATTAAGGATAAAGAGCTTGTAGGGAAGGCAAAGTCATCCAAAAACACTCTTTTTATGAACTCCGAAACAATCATAATACTGCAATTATTAAATGAAAATTCACTAAAGTTTTTACAGATAAACTTATCATTGACTTAGATTGTTTTTGTCATGGAAAATGTATTTTATTTTAAAAGAAAATTGTCTTCGATTTATAAAAAAATATATTCTTGCACAACATCTGTAGCTGTAATTAAAAATATAGAGAAAAAACTGTTTTGTCCATCGAATCCCTATTCAGTCAAATCCCTATTAAGTAAGAATCCCTATATACTAACATACAGTTAATAAATACATCGAAGTGCCTAAGGATTATGGGATATATGATAGCAAGACTATGCTAGCTGATTTTCATAACAAATAAGAATCATAATTATTGCCTTAACTTAAAAAATACTGAAGCCGTAATTTTCACGTCATTGTGTTGATTTGTAAAATGTCCACACCGTTACCCAGCAATAAGTATAACTGTGTCATAAACAATGTTTAATTTTATTTATAAATCCATTTTCTAATTGGGTTGTATAAGGATGTGCGTTATTTCTGTTACACGTTTTATACTTATAACAAATCTGCAAAAAAATAATGTCTGTACATTGAATATATTTACAAAAAAATAAAGAAATTGAGGGTGGTTAGAAAACAATAATAGAATACGAATTTAAAAAATATTGTCTGTTTATCTGTATGTACACGTTAATTTTCGGGACTACTGAGTATATCGCTGGCCCCGGGCAATAAAGCGGTGATCGGAGATTACGCCCTTTTTAATGTTATTTCATTTTTGGCTTCCCTGTCCTTCAATCTATACCGCAAATTTTTTTTATATTTTTTTGTCAATATTTAAATATATTTAATGAAATTAACAGCTTTATTGTATGGGAAATTGTTAAACGATTAAGTTATGTGATGTCGTCTTACTAACTGAAACATAAAATAAAAAATCGGCGGACAACCTTACTCGATATTCTTTTAAAAAAAAATACAATAAAGCAATTAACTGCTTTTCCCAAAATAAATATTTATGAACATGGATATGTTACCACTTAATACGAAGTTATCATTATTTAACATTATTTTATAAAAGTTATTACGCCTTTTTTCTCGTAAATTTGTGTATGTAGCTCTAGCGTAAGCCATATTACGCTGAACACCATCTCTTTCACTCCACGCATAAATAATTACACCTTTCTTTTGAGCATGATGTTTAGGTAAACAATTCATACCAGTATTGACATGATTCGGCGGGCGGCATCAGTGCAGCGTGTGACGTCTTACGCATATTACTTGCGTAATTTTAAATAGGCGGCCGCTATATAAAATTCAGGGCAAAAGTATGAAGGTTGCTGTTCAAAGAAAAAGTTTAATTCCAAAAAGATCGGAGTTGTGTGTACATGTAAGAAGAAATGTGGTGATAAAATATCCGAAGAAAAACGACAGGCCATTTTCAATGCCTTTTGGAAACTTGGTAGTCACGAAGACCAGTGGCAATACATTTTAAGACATGTGAATACTAATGACATTAAAAAAATGCAATTAGTTAGAACCAAAAACAGGACACAAACTATTAAGTATTATTTCAAGGATGGATCAGACAAAATTGACGTCTGCAAAAAAAATTTTTTTAATACCCTTAGTATAACTGAAAAATCAGTTTAAACTGCTATAGAAAAAGAAAAATGTGAAGAAGTCAAAGATAATAGGGGTCATCATGCTAACAGACCACGAAAAATGAGTGTTTCAACTGAACAAAATATAATCGCACACATAAATCTATTCCCGGTGAAAGAATCACATTATGTGCGCAAAGATACTAAAAAGTTATACTTAGACGACACGTTAAATATTTCTAAAATGTACCGGCTATATATAGAATGGTTTGAGAAAGAAAATTATTCGAACGATATTAAGATCGCTACAAAACGACAGTATGAAACAATTTTCAACACAAAATTCAATTATTCATTTCATAAACCAAAAAAAGACATTTGCGGGCAATGTACTTTATATCATCAAGCTGATGATGAAAGAAAGGAACAACTCAAAGAGTCTTATACAAAGCACATAAGAAATAAAGAACGTGTTCGTGAACTTAAAACTAAAGATAAAGAAGAAGGAAATCCTACGGATACTGTCGTCGCTATTTATGACCTGGAAAAAGTTTTGACGATCCCTCAATCAGAGGTGGGTATATTACATTATAAGCGAAAGTATCCAATATATAACTTTACGGTTTATAACTCATTAAGTGGAAGAGGTTATTGCTATCTTTGGCATTATCAATTAGCCAAAAGAGGGGCAAATGAAATCGGTAGTTGTCTTTTAAATTTCATTGAATGTGAAAGCAATAAAGGCATAAAGAATTTCATATTTTATTCTGATGGCTGTGCTGGCCAGAATAAAAACAGAATTATCTTTGCTCTTTATTTATATTTGGCCAAAAAGTATAGTGTTAACATAATTTATAGATATTTTGAGACTGGCCATAGCCAATCCGAAGGAGATTCTATGCATTCTCTTATTGAAAGAGCAAAAAAGAATCATACAATATTTACCCCTGATCAAATGTATGGTATAATTATGAATGCCAAGATCAACGGCGAAAAATTTCAGCTAATGGAAATGGAACAACACAATTTTTTTGATTTAAAGGAGATGATGAACAAACGATACTGGCTACGAGCAGACCAAACTAATGAAAAAGTTATGTGGTCAAAGATTCACGAAATTAAAATCACTGCTGATAATCCAGATGTTATTTTTTTCAAGTACAACTTTGAGAATGAGTATACATATTTCAATTAATACTGCACCAACCACTAGATCCTCAAGATGGAGGGGCAAAAAACTCCAATAACTGATGTTTTAGGGAATGAATTGACTTATCTTTACAGAGAGCCAATTGCCTTACCAAAACCTCTTTATGATGATTTGATGAGTCTCTGCAAAGTTGAAGCGATCCCGAAACATTATCACATATTTTATAATAATTTACAGTTAGTTTGAGACACAGTAGAAGATTCGGATATTGTAAGCGAAGATTCAAACTAAAGAAGCATTTTTTTTTTAAATAGATATTATAATAATAAAGTTAAATAATAATAATTCTTGAAAACGACCGCGCTCGATTGTACTGGGACCGGTCCGTCATTACGGACAGGACTGTTCCTGCGAACAAGCCTGATATCGTACTGATGGACCGGGCGGAATCTCGGGTGTTCTTAGTGGATGTCACCGTCCCATTCGATGAAAACCTCGTGAAAGCCGTGAAAGAAACAGATAAAAAACTTAAATATCTGAACCTGGCGCACGAGGTTACCGATATGTGGCGAGTGTCATCCACTGAGATCATCCCAGTCGTAGTGTCAACGAATGGCCTAGTCCCAACTTCTCTTCACGACCATCTGAAGAGGTTGGGACTCCGTGACGGACCAATGATTGCGAGGCTCCAGCGGGCGATCTTGCTCGATAACGCAAGGATCGTCCGCCGTTTTCTCTCTTTGTCGCCCTGACCCCCGGCCGTCTGGCCCCCTCTGCCGGGGGGAATCCTCCCACCCCTCGAATCGTCGAGGGGTCGGGAAGAGTAAATTTTTAAATACAAAAATAATAATAGTAAAGAAAGTTTGATAAATAATTAATAAAGATTATGATTGTGATTTCAAAAGCGTTTTAATTATTAATAATAATAATTTTAGTTATTTAATAGACTGATATTTTAGGCAAGAGCTTTCACTTAACAGAATTTTAAATACCTATGTGAAAATTGGTAGTATTTAAAGTCAATTATAAAATGTTATTGGCTTCCTCAGTTTAAAGGAAATCTTTACCAATCAATATAATTATTTTATTCAAATCATGCTTCCAAAACAAGTATCTAATTATAAAAGCATTTATTAGTGGTAATATTATAAAAACAATAATAAATATTATAAAATACTGCCTAAAATAAGAAAAAATAATAATATATTTAGCATTGTAGTCAGTTTGTAATGATAGTTACATAAAAATATAATTCATTAATAGGATTTTAAAATAGCGATTAGTGATTATACTTCTAAAACAGTATTAAAAAAATACTCTAAAAAAGGTGGTAACAGGCTGATACGCTTACGATTGTATATGGAAATTGCGTTGTATTAGTTACTTACATCCCGGGCTATTACTGGAAGATTTATTTATAAAGAAGTTAACGGTGTTGCAGTTAGAACGGCAACATAAATAATTTGTATTTTACATTTTTATCATTATCTCTTCCATTATTCATGATACATATATATATATTTAAAGGGATTAATATATATAAAAATACCTTTCGATTGAGATATTAAACGCTTATTTCGCATGTCTGTACACTAAAATATAATTAAATTAGCTTCAATTGTTTATCCTGTAAAATTAGTTTTTTTATATTACCGCTTTGTTGCTCGGGGCCAGCGATATTTGTATGAAACTTATTTTGTATATACCTGGGCAATATATGGGGTATAATTAATTTTGGAAACTTAAACGTTTTATGCACAACCACAACAGACCAGCGACACCTTAAGAAATTTTTTTGTGCCTGATCAATATATTCTGCTAAGAGTACAAAAGTCAAAGATCCAGAACATATAATGTGGTCCTCAAAGATACTAGTTATACTATATCGGATAAAAATGACTTCTTAACAATAAATAGTTTTTTTATTTATTGTCATTTTTTGCACAAATACACATTGGCGTACGTAATGCCATGGCCATTTTCTACCAGTAAACCTTAGGATGATGTAGACACGGGGTTCTCTCTATTGTTGTACAGGGCAAGTTTGTGACCTTGTTGCGTACAACAAAACGCGGGAAAGGGAAAGATCTATGGTTAGCGATACGTATCGTTGTCTTTCAACGGTCATGTAAATACTAAGGTTTATTGTCCGTTTTTTCGTCTACTCTAGAAACAGACAATGCAATGTGTCAAAAAGCTCTGATTAGATAATTTGGATTTAGTTTTAAATATATTAAAATTAACTTTGTACATAATAAGGGCGCTTGTGCACTACACTGAATTTTCAGGTCCGGCGGTCCTATTTTTTCCGGTCCGGAATGACATGAAAAACCCGGATGAGTAGCTTGTGCACTTGTCCGTTTTTTTCCTGATCGGAGCGGCGCAGTGTAGGGCAGCTCTCTTTGTACGATGAGATTTTTGAAACTTCGTTAATTGCGTTCGAAGACGTAGAAAGTTGCCTAAATAACGACCTGATTTTACATAAATCATAATAAATTGAGACAAAACGAAAGCATTTTTTTTTACTACAATCACTATAAGCAGTTACACTAACCTGCCCTTTTCTGAATGGGATTGCCCAGACCCAGAGTCCTGATTAGATATTCTAGAGAATCACCCGTTTCTTTGAATGTCGAGCTTGTCCTCAACTCTGTGCTTAGAGTTGAACTGAATTGTAAAATTTACAGTAAAACTTTTACCACACTTACGCCACAATAATCAATGCTGATTACCGAATTATTCACATCTAATTTTTTAATGCCAACCTCAGTCAGGAATAAAATTAAGTAACATTTTGGAGCGATTTTCAATTATTACGGTAACCATCCGCCACAGGTTTGCGTCCGTGATGCGGAAAGTAGATTTAAAAAAAAAATAGTTCTCTAATTATAAAACCTTCTGTTGATAACAATTAATGGCTAAAACGACTTCACAAATTTTATTTCAATAAATTTACCAGTATCTTAAGAAAGTCAAAGAACGACGTCTTACGAAATAGCGGTGCGGTCGTATCAGTCACGTTCGAAAACTTGTCACGGCTTTTATAATAGGGTGTTATACTCTGATTGCAAAAGTACTTACTTGGTACTTGTAAGTGTTTATAATCGACAACAAAAATATTCAGAAAAATAATTCCACTTTTTTACACCCATAAAAACACCGTCTGCCATATTCATGACGATATTCTGTTATGTACAGATTTATTTCTTTCTTTATTTCAAAGCAAATTTCAATGATTCTGCAAATTCGTGCTTTACGTTTCACTATCGAAACTACCCAATCCACTATCATAATTACCAAGTATGCTTAAAATTGTATTAATTTGGTTGCAATACAACTATAGTCTATTGAGTATCGTTTAAAATTGTGTACTAGTCGGAACACTGTACATTTACCTTACAGAAAAATCTTCGTTTTTCATTATCAATAATTGTATGGCTACGCCTGGTGCGTACTGCAATAGTTTGCAAACCAATAAAGGATATCTAGAGATATTTTTGTATCAAATTACCGCGAAATTTATCCAGTCCGTTTTTCCATGAAAATGTCAAAAATAATATCTATACAATTATTAAATATAATTATATATATATTTTAGTATAAACACATAAATAATTTTTAATATTATATTTCTCATAATAAAAATATTGGGTAAAAAAAAAGAACATGCAACTTGGTTTTGATCTGCGGCACAATGAGTACCTAGTGATCAGCAAATAGGACATTGCGCCACACCAAACATTAATAAAGTCTGTGAAAAACCTGTACATTATTATTTAGTACATTGTTACCATAATTTTCAAATTCATTCAATAGTAACTAATTCCATTTTTATATCTGTTTTATAAAGTAATACCTATTTATTGAACTATTTTATTTACACAATATGATTGATTAGGAATTATTTTTTACTAGAGTAACGGTCTACGGGATGGTTTTTGCATGAAAATGTCAAACTTTTGCAAACACATACTTTTATGGAAATATTTACCTATTGTCAATTTTTATGTTATATATTTTTACAGCAATTAAATTTATCAACTGGACTAAATAATTAAATAATACTTAATTACTGTATAAAATAATATACAAAATTATTTTAACGAATTATTAATGATTAACATATACCTATAAAAAAATGAGAGAGGAAAATATATTAGGAAAAAGAAGATAAAAGTAAAAAAAATGTTTCTTTGATGGGATTGGAACACGAACATGTATTTTATTGGAACTATTTCATCAATATCGGGGCTTTTGTATGAAAATGTCAGTCTGACTTTCGCCTACGTAAATATACTAAAGAAATATTTATTTTCACATTTTATATTGTTTAATAATAATAATAATAATAAAGTTGCTTTTTAAAATTATGGCAGAAAAAAAAGGAAAATTAGAATAAAATAATAAAAAAACGACTTGAAAAAATGCGAGCTCTAGTGGGATTAGAACCTACAACTTCGAGACACTCGGGTCCCTACCCTAGTACATTACACCAAAGATATTGTCAAAATGAGAGCGAAATTAAAATACTTATTTTAAATGTTCTTTTTTTTACAATTTTAGCGATCTCGGTACGTCAGAACGCTGCACAAAGCAACATAGGTCCATCTAGCAACACGCCTCAGCGTGAACTAAGTTAGTGTGCGTTATACTATAGCCTTCCCTGTCAATTGCAGTAGGAGTGACAGAAATGTCAATACTTTAAAGTTGCTTGAAAAAAATGACCATATGTGCCATATCACAAAATAAATTATATTAATTATTATAATAACATTATCAAAAATTGGGAATAACCAACTTTTATATCAACCTTTGATACATATTTGTACTCAATATCATTACTCTAATGTATCACATAATTGAGAAACGTGCCTTTCGCAATATTTTTAGATGCTACTTTGGAATTATTTTCTATCGAGTGAAGTTAATACAATCATGTTTCGGTTTCAACCACAAGATCAGAAATACGATCAAGTATAACCACAAATTTTTGGATTGCCATAGGTTTCCCGTGAATTAGTATAATCCTAGATCAATTTTATCGATTTGGCACTATTCAGCGTCTTAAATCGATTGACAAACTAACAGTCGGTTTCTGATTTGAAAAAAAGTAGAAAATCTCTACTGCTTATTCTCAATAACTTACGTTTTTTTTAATTTCACAAGTGGAATAGGCCTAGTTTTACCAAACTGCTATCAACTGATCATCAAAAACTAATCGCAAACGAAAACTAAGTAATGTTAGT